TCTAATTCCTTAAATCTATTTGTCACCTATACTGTATATTCATCAGGGATATGATTTAGTTCATACCTGAGTGACCTAGTGTTTTCCCCTACTTTCTTCAATTTAAGCCAAATTTTGCAACGAGAAGCTCATGATCTGAGCCACAGTCAGCTCCTGGTCTTGTTTTTACTGACTGTATAGAACTTCGCCATCTTTGGCTGCAGAGCACATAGTCAATCTGATTTCTGTTTCGGATCTGTCCCAACCTAGAAATTATAGGCCTATATCTCTTTTAAATATAGATTATAAGATTTTTGCAAAGATACTGGCAAATAGATTAATGCAGGTTTTGAAACAATTGATTCATACTGACCAATCTGGATTTATAATGGGAAGATATATGAAATATAATGTAAGACAAATTGTTAACTTACTAGAGTATTTGGATAAGAACAACCAAATCCCTGCTGCTTTAATATTTATTTATAGATGCTGAGAAAGCTTTTGATCAATTAGATTGGAAATTTTTATTGAAAGTTGTAGAGGAAATGAACTTTGGAGACAAATTTTTGTGTGTTCTCAAGGCCATATATCAGCAACAATCAGTACAAATTATAATTAATGGGGGATTAACAGATGTATTTAAAATAGAAAAAGGTACAAGGCAGGGTTGTCCCTTATCCCCCTTGTTATGTGTATTAACAATGGAGATTTTACTTATTACAATTCGAGATTCATCTAGATTAAAGGGAATAAAAATAAGTAAGATTGATTATAGGCTGAGAGCTTTTGCTGATGATTTGGTTGTGACGTTATCCCACCCAACAAATACGGTCAGAGCAGTGTTTCTCAACCTTGACAATTTTAAGGCATGTGGACTTCAACTCCCAGAATTCCACAGCCAGCAATGGTGGCTGTGGAATTCTGGGAGTTGAAGTCCATATGCCTTAAAATTGTCAAGGTTGAGAAACACTGGGTCAGAGACTTGGTTGAAATTTTAGCGCAGTATGGACAGGTCTCTGGTTTTAAGGTGAATAAGAACAAAACTAAAATATTATTGAAAAATATGTCTATGAAGGGAAAAGATATTATAGTTGAAGCAACAGGTTATGAGTTAATGTTAAGTATTTAGGAGTATATATCACAACATCTAATGGAAAATTGTATAAGAATAATTATGAACACTTATGGGTAAAAGTACAAAAAGACTTAAATGATTGGCAAAAATTACAACTATCGTTGCTGGGGAGAATCTCAGTAGTAAAGATGAATGTTCTACCAAAGTTTCTTTTTTTGTTTCAGATGATACCTATCTTAAAAAAGGATGCTAATTTGGATGAGTGGCAGAAAGGTATCAATAAATTTATCTGGGGTGGGAAGAAATCAAGGGTAAAGTTTAAGATTTTGCAAGACACTCAAGAAAGAGGTGGACTTAAAGCACCTAATTTGAAATTATATTATGATGTGGCCACTTTAACTTTAGTAAGTGATTGGCTTAATTTAACAAATAAAAATATTCTTGCTCTTGAAGGTTGGAATTTATTATATGGTTGGCATGCATATTTAATTTTTGACAAGAAAGTAGATCTGGTTTTTAAGTCACACATTTTAAGAAATGCTTTACTTCGAGTTTGGAAGAAGTATTATTATAAGTTAAATTATAAAATACCTATTTGGGGGATTCTTGGACAAGCAATTCAGGGGGTTTCTAAGAGGGTGAATTTTGATATTTCATATAAAGAATTACTTATTTGGTCGGGTACTGATTGGCAACTAAAGTCTTCAGATTTGTTAAGGCAAGAAAATATTTTACATTCATGGTTTCAATATTTGCAAATAGTGGAGAGGTGGACCTTAGATAAGAAAGTGGGAATCACCTTAGCAGATGAAAATTTGGTAATTCAGATTAAAGATCAGAAATATGCTCATATTAAAAGAATTTACAATGAGTTAATAAAATTGGATTCGGAAACAGAGCTAGTAAAAGATTGTATGATTAAATGGGCTCAGAATATTCAGGAACCGATTTTATTGGAGTTAATTTGGATTAGAAATGTTAAATTTACGCAGGCTCAAAATTTGAGGGAAAATTTTTATAAAATGTTTTATAGAAGGCATCTGGATCCTAAAAAGTTGTCTTGTATGTACCCAAACCTGCAACCTAAATGTTGGAGATGTGGTAGCTTGGATGCAACTTATTTTCATGTCTGGTAGACTTGTAAAAATATTAAAGCCTTTTGGATTATGATTTGGTGGAACACTCAAAAGGTTTTTAAGAGGAGGATTAAGTTTACTCCCCAATTATTTCTTTTGGGTATTTTTGTGGATTTTGATGCTAAAGAAACTATTTTAATGTTGAATTTAATAACAGCAGCAAGATTATTGGTGGGTCAATATTGGAAGAAAGACTTTCTGCCTTCTTTAGATGAATGGGTATTTAAGGTTTCTAATTTAGCAGAAATGGCTAAAATTTCTGCTTATTTAAAGGATCATTCACAAGAGAGATATATTATTGTATGGAGAAGATGGATAGAATATGTTCAGAAGAAATATGGAACTACAAAATTTCATTTATTTTATGAGTAATGGATTTGTTTATAAAATTATGATGTTAAAGTTTGAAGAGAGTTAAGGGTTAGTATGATTTTGGTTATTGTATAATTAGTAAACTTAAGTAGCTTATGTTTAATATGTTTGTATAACCCTGTACTTGGCTCTGGGAGGTTGGGGGGAGGGGGCGGGGGGAGGATGGGTTGGAGGTTAAATAGGTCAGATAAGTAGAAATAGTTAGGTTTTTTTGCATATAATATTGATGTTTTAACTTGGAGAGAGGAATTACTCGGGAATTACTCGAGAGAGGAATTACTCGGGCATTTCCCCTGGATCGCATCCGGAGTGAGAAGATAGGAGGAAGGGGAGAAGTAAGTAGGAAGGTTGAGGAGAAGGAGGAGAGGGGGAGAGTAAGGAAGAAGAGGGAAAGAGGGAAGTGAGAGAAGAGGTTAGAGGGTGGATGCGGTTTGGGGGGAAATGGGTGAGCAATACCGAAAGTTGTGTGTATAAATTTATCTGAAGTACTTTTTATGAATGTAATGAAAAAATTGAAAATAAAAAAAATCTTTTACAAAAAAAAATCTGATTTCTGTGTTGACTGTTCGGTGATGTCCTTGTGTAGAATCGTCTCTTGGGTTGTTAGAAAAGAGTGTTTGCTATGACCATCATATTCTCTTGACAAAATTCTATCAACCTGTGCCCTCCTTCATTTTGTACTCCAAGGCCAAACTTGCCTGTTATTCTGGTTATCTTTTGGCTTCCCATTTTAGCATTCCAATCCCCCATGATGATAAGGATATCATTTTTTAGTGTTGATTCTATAAGGTGCTGTAGGGCTTCATAGAACCGGTCAATTTCATCCTCTTCAGCACCAATGGTTGGGGCATAGACTTGGACTACTGTGATATTGAATGGTTTGCCTTGGATTCGCACTGAGACCATTCTGTCATTTTGGGAATTGTATCCCAGTATTGCTTTTCCTACTCTTTTATTGACTATGAAGGCTACTCCATTTCTTCTGAGGGATTCTTGCCCACAGTAGTATACCTGATGGACCTCTGAATTAAATTCACCCATTCCTGTCCATTTTAGTTCGCTGATTCCTAAGATGTTAATATTCAGTCTTGTCATCTCTTGTTTGACCACGTCCAGCTTGCCTTAATTCATGGATCTTACATTCCAGGTTCCTATGGAGAAAAGATCTTTACAGCATTGGACTTTCCTTTCACCACCAGATGCATCCACAGGTGAGTGTCCTTTCGGCTTTGGCCCAGTCTCTTCACTCTTTCTGGCGCTACTAGTACTAGCCCTCTGCTCTTCCCCAGTAGCATATTGGACACCTTCCGACAAGAGGGGCTCATCTTCCAGCATCATATCTTTTTACCTTTTGGTCCATGGGGTTTTCATGGCAAAGATACTGGAGTGGCTTGCCATTTCCTTCTCCAGTGGATCATGTTTTGTCAGAACTCTCTGCTGTGATCTGTCCATCTTGGATGGCCCTGCACGTCATAGCTCATAGCTTCACTGAGTTACGCAAGCCCCTTTGCCACAACAAGGAAGTAATCCATGAAGGAGAAAATGAGCCATAATAAATATAAAAACAGTTTGCATTACTTTCTACAATATTTCTTCTTTTATATGTCAGGTTTCCATTCAACTACAGTACAATTCCACTGTCAGCATTTACATTATTGTTACAAGAGGTATTATAATATAGCAGCCTCTTAGGTTGATCTATAGGTTCAAATCTTGAGCCACGCCTGGGATATCAGCACTACTCTCATTTACCTACTATAGTTTTCATAAGCTTTGGTCAAATCTATTTAAATTCTACCTCTGTAACAAACATGTGCATTTTGTGCATGTACCTGTTCTTTTACTTTTCTGAAAACAAATTCCTCCAAAATTGCATTCAATTAGTGTCTTCTACGTATTTCTTTTTTTCCTTGTTTGTTGTGGTTAACTCAAATCCTACCTTGTATTTTCAAATAATGTTCCTATTATACATTGCATTTTATAATTTTTCAGACAGATGCTTCTATTCTTTCATCTCCAAATTCTGACAATCATTATTTCTGTTCCACCTTACTTTAAGCTTTCAATAATACTCTGTAACAGCTCCATAGATTTTATTTAGTTCCTAGAGTACCAGTTAACAAAATCACTAACACTATATATCTCTTAAGCCTGGAAAGAGCATTATGCTTCTCACATATAAAATCAGCTTTATTCTTAGCATTATAGATACATGATATTACTTCTCAAGCAATAGTAAACTGTAGGCTATTTAGACTGGTTTTCTATCACGTTAGACATTAATTTCAAGGAATTAAAAGACATTTTTTTTTTGTTTATCTAAGAGAAAGTTTAAATATTATCCAAAAAAAAGATCAAATCTTTATGCTCATAAGCATGGACACTTATTTTCAGGATTAAAAATCTTGTAATGTTTATATAAAGGAAAAACTTACAATCGCTAACAAGATTGTGGTTTCCTTGGTCTTCATCCAACAACTTTACAGGATTTGCAGTGTTGCTAATATTTTGATGATTCTCTAGTTCTTGATATAGACTAAAAAAAATTAAAATTTAAGAAAACTATAGACTGTAAAGGTACAGTCAAATTTGGAAAGAAAACACATGTAAAAGAAATATATGCCCATATGAATTACAAATACCTTAAGCTGATGTAATCATTTTCAACTGATATTGTTTTGCCCTGATTTATAAACACTCTAAAAGAACAGTTGCTTATATCAAATGCAGTGGGAGGATGAATTGCCAAGACCAAACTATCCCTAAGAATGTTAAAATGAGTGAACCAAATGATGCTGACAAGGAATAGTCTGTGATATTTTACCAACTCTGAATGATGAAGATAGATCATGGATAACTTCAACTTAAGACTAAAGAAAATTAGGCATATAGCCATACTTTAGAGAATAATATATATAGGATGGCAAATACAACTACAGTAACTATCAAATGCCTCAGCTAAGTGAAGTTCCTGAAATAATCTTTGATTAAGAGTAACTGAAAAAACAGGTATCACTTAGTTAAATTTTCTAAAACAATTACCTTAACTTTTGTTTATTGGGAAGTGGGGATGAACAAGCTGAATCAGGAGATGCGCAATCTCCTATTCTTAAAATAGGAGACAGAGGCTGATTAGCATTCTCAAGAGGAACCGCAAGAGACGAGCCAGTGATATCTATAAAGCAGAAGTCAACTGTTTATTCTCAAACAATAATCTTAATCAAGCAACATACCTGACATACCACTTGAATGATATATTTTAATAGTTAAACAATCCTCAGCAAATAAGTATAATGTCAAAATATTCAAAATTTAATACTGGCAAATCTTGTGATTTTTTTTAAAAAATCACTCTTGAATTTGCTAAATGAAATAATTCAGATTAAATGAGTTGAATATTTTATATTAAGGAATGCACTTTATGTGAAAAATATGTAGTGGGCCTTCTGTATATATTTTAAATGAACCCTCCTGGACAAGAGAAAAAAACTGAGGAATCATTAGGTTGTTCTAGTTCATCACGCTAAACAAAGGAGCAAGGTAGCTCACAGAAAATGTACATGGCTCACGATGGCTGAAAAACTGCAGAATAATTTAAAACGAGCTCACATGCAGGCATGTTCTAGAACATGCATGGCACTTTGAGACATTGGTACACTATATACTAGTTGGGAGAAAACATTTAATTGTGATATAAGAGTGAATTATTTGTATCACTACCTTAATCTCAACTTTAATTCCATGTATATTTTAGACAACAGAAGTGAAAGCACTTTATTAAAATTGAAGTACTCCACAAATAGTCCTTGACTTATGACCAATCACTCAGCAACTGTTCAAAATTATGGCAGATCTTCACAGAACTGCTTACAACCCAGTTCCAAAGGTCCAATGGTCAAGTGATTACTTGACAATTAGCTAGCATTTATGGCCATTTGCAGCATTCTGCAGTCATGTGTCTATGATTTATGACTTTTTTTTTCAGAGACCAGTATTGTACTTCTGTTTTCTAGTACAAAATGCCCATGGACTACAATTTAAAGGTTCATTTAATGACTGTGGTGTTTGCTTAATGACTGCTGTAAAAAAGTCATAAAATCAGGCATAGTCATGTGATAACCCACTTAATGACCGCCACAACTTATGCCTGTAATTCTGGGCTCGATTACATTCCTAAGTCAAGAATTATCTATATCAGGGCTTTTCAACCAGTGGTACAAGTACCACCTGTGGTACACTGGCACCTGGCAGGTGGTACACGACCATCCTAGAAAAGTGGTAGCGGGGGAGGGAAATGAGAGCGCCGCCGGGCGGGCAGGCAGGTGTCTTGCTTGGCTATGCCTTGGGGGGCACTTTTTTCAGTGTCATTGTAACTTTGAACAGTCACTAAGCGAACTGTTGTAAGTCGAGGACTACTTGTACTTTATCACTTTTTTCCTTTTTTTGGGGGGGGGGTCATCAAGTTTTTGACACCTTGCTAGGCAACTGGTGATATTTGGATATTGCCGTATCCTAAAAATGGTACAATGGGTGAAAAGGTTGAAAAGCCCTGATCTATATGCAGTGATTATGTGATGACAAACATTCCCATACTGCAAGCAATGTGTTGAAATAGTGTTTCCATTTCAGCAGTGAATGGGAAATTGGAAATGATCTATGAAACGGACTAATGAATTATGACACCAGTTTGACATCAATAATACTTGCAACTCACACCAACCACATTTCATAATTGTATCCAATTGCATACCTTCATTAAACAGATTTTTACTGATGTTCCACCTTGCTTTGGAAACAGGAGTAGAAGAGAGACGCCTGGAAGGTTTTTTTGGAGTGGTACTAAAATGATTTTCATTTCCTGATGACCAGGTATAGCTTTTACTTTTTTGAAAGTGAAAGGAATGTTCCCGAGACAACAAATTCTCCTGTATAGATCTCTTTCTTTGTTGAGATGCTAGGATACGGTTACTTGGTGATTGGGAAGATGATGGGATCTTTGTTGGATCAATTGCTCTTTGAGTGACTTTGTGCTGGTAATTCCTGTAGGCCTCTTGCAAGTATTCAGCTTCTCTTTCCAGTTCTTTTATCCTAGCTTTTGTACTAGCTACAAATTCTAAATCAGAATCTGGTGATGTGTTGAATTTTACAATGTGATTATAATGACTGGGACTTGCTGTATTTCCCATTCCAACATCGGTCACAGGCTTTTTCAAGAAAGCATGATCTACATAAATATCATGTGGAACAACCTTTTCATCAATCAAGTCAATGACTGAACGATCAACCAGAGAAGGCTTAGGATTCCGATATACTTCATTTTGTAGTGCTAGATAATCAAGAGTTTTGTATAGAAATAAAAAAATATATATTTTAGGGAACATTGTAAGTGTGAATGTTGATTTGGTCATATGATTAACATGTAAAAATAACCTTTCCATTTGAAGCCTACCTTAATATTTGTATATATTTTTTCTACATCCAAATCCAAATAGCAAAATTATCCCAAGTCAGAGTGATGAGACAAAATTCTAAATAAAACATCTGAGTCATGATAACAAAACTTGCAATGTAATATAATGTAATGTGCTCCTTTCACAGATAAAGGCTGCTTTTACTCATAGCAAGGGAAGCTCCCTCGTATCTTAGTCAATAACTGAGAATATCCCTGACCCTTGGGCTCATCCTCTTAGAACTAACATGTGAAGGGTCTGCAGTGAGAAGAAAGACTTGAAAACCCTGCTTGGAGAACTCTGCCCATAGCCATTAGGATCTATCTGGGTTCTCTAAGAATCAACCTTAACTCCCTAAGATTGAATGAAAGCATATTTAGCATTCAACAATGTCAAGTTAGCTGACTGTGCCTTCAAGGCACAAAAAGAAAAAAGCATGCCAGTAAATTTTTAATACAGTATCTGTCCCCCTTTCCTCAAAGTAGTTTGCCATAGACTTTTGGAAAGGTAGATGCAGGCCCAAATTCTTGTTTGTGCAAGCTTATGAACACAAAACTATCAGAATACATACTCCCAACAACTACCCAACTCTGCTTTTGACACTACTCTGCAATTTAAGAACAAGTTACAGCTACGGGGAATAGAGTTTTGTTACTTTCTTTCATTTCTGTGTTGGGCAGACCAATAAAATTTAAAAATCAAATGGACAACTAAATTGCAAACTGAAATGTTAGAAACTAGAGGGCAGTTTTGAATTATTTCAAAATTAATTTTTGGAAACAAGGAAGCTATCTTTGAATTTAAAAGACCTTTTATAAGAATTGCTACTAGCCCAAATTATTCCCTATGTTCCGTAAAACAAGGTGTTCTCCTTTGCAATAAATAATTATATCCAAGAAACAATACTTTATTTTAAAAATGGGCAATCATTCATTATGCATATAACATTTCAATAATTTTATTTCCTTGTAATTTAGTTAATAAATTGTGGCAAAAAATAATCTATGTTTAAATAAAATTGCCTCACATTTGTATCAAATAAAAGAGAAAGAGGCTTGAGTTTGAAGGCAAAAAGATGTGAGAAATCAAAATGTTCAAACCTGTCTGTGTTTGCTTCCATTGTAGTTTTAATTCTTCTATCTGTATATTTAACTTCCTGATGGTATTTTCATAGTCTGACAACTGGGCCTTTAACTGTATACAGTGATCCATCTGAAAACGTTACAAAAAAAAAAATACAAAGGAGTTATTAATACAAATAAGAATAATAACAATTCACACTGGAAGCTAGATTATACTTATATTGCCATTTTTCTCTACTGAGTATCTCGGACAGAAATCTATTCAAAGATTATTGGAAGCATCTGCAAAACCCAAAAAAACCTACCTCCTTTTGTAACCGTTTTTCCAAGATCTGTTTATGAGTTTCAGACTCTTCACAGTCAAGCTTTTTGGCATGTTCTATTCTTTTTAACTCTGCCTGAAGGACCATAAAGCCAGATGATGGACGACTCAGCTCTGTAAGTTTAGGAGACTGAAAATTATTTTTTTTAAATCACATCTTGCCTTCACTCTGAAATACTTTATGCCAGAAAATATATTCTATCATGTATCTAACTTCATTTTTAGTGCTTTATAAGGTATGGATAAATTATTTTTCAGTATCCATTAAAAAATGGGTAAGGTATTTATTTCTTGACCAATCACATACAACATAAAAATACAACAAAAATATCTCACATAGGAAAAAAACCCCAAAATAAAAAATAATACAGCAGAGAACAGGAAAATTAGACTGACCTGACAATTTTATTTAAGAAAGAAATTTGAGCTACTGTATATGAGTTTTTGTCTCTTGGCCCTACCATCAAATTTGGGTAATGTTTAATATGATATTAGCCTGCAATCTTAGTGTAATAAGCAATCTGAATAGTTTTAAATAGTAGTGAAATACACCAAGTAAAACAAAAATATGTACTTTCGTGACTGCTATGTAAAATCTGGCTAAGAAGCATATAACACTGTGTGACAAACTAACAGGAGGAATGAGATATGCACCTCATCTTCTCTGCCTGTAAAATTTTATTGCAGTAATTACTTTAGGCTTGGAGAAATGACTGATTCAAAAGAATGACACTAGATTCAACCTGGTCACTGGTGTATATATAAAATACAGATAAATATGTTTTTTCTTTAACAAAGGTTCTGAATATTCCCTTCAGTTTCCTAAAGATACAAGAATAAAATATTTTAATGGTTTGAGGAGTAAAAAAAAGCAGTCATTTCCCACCCTCCTTAAAGAATATATGACATATAATGGATGTGTGTCCAATTCTTCCCAAAATTTAGAGTACCGTGTCTTTATTTAAATAAATGACAGAGACAATTGCACAAAATCACGCTTTACAGGACAATGCTAACTGCACTTCAGTTATAATGCTTCTGTACTTTTGCTAATACTTCCTGAAACACTACAAAAACATCAACACTTAGGACAGAAGTACAACAGGAAAGAAAACAAGTATCTCACATCCAATGTAATAATGCTATCACAGATAGTACAAAATTATAGTATCTGTGTAAATCCTTGCCAATAAAATGCCAGAGTAATAGATTCATACTAACTGTCTTGGAGCAGTAGGTTTTCATTGTGTGCTTCCTCCAGCTGCTGTTCAAGTAGTTTATTTTGTGCTTGATACTCTATTTTCTCCTCTTTTAGTGTAGGATAATTTGAAACTTCTTTCAGTTTTTCAGTCAACAACTGATTCTGTTTGTTTAGTAATAAAACTTGAACCTTGACTGAATCTATTTCCAGCTAGAAATAAATAGCAAGTTAGAAATGAAATTATCAGACTTGTTCAGAGATTTACAGTCTATTCATTTGGCATGTCCATTTCAGAACATGCTAAAACTTCTGTATTTAAATTTCAATTACCTCAAGTTCTTTTGCACGCAAAACAGCTTGGCTGAATTCTTGCTTTTTTGAATTAAGCGCAATAGTTTCCTCATGCAAAAGCATAGCCTTTTCTAATCAGAAAAACAAAAAGTTTTAGATTACATTTATTTTGAAAATAGTTTACAAGACCAAAAGTTATTTGCCTTTTTTTTTTTTACTAGTTTACCTTTTTGTTCTGTCTCATTTTCAGCAAACTTTTTTGTCCTGGTTATGTATTCTTCTTTTAATTCAAGTTGATATCTAGAAATAAAATAACATGCTGGCAACTGATTTGACTTAACTTGTGATGCTAAAGCTCACTTTTTAAAAAAATTGCCTTTGAGTCAATCTTGGCTCATGTTTATTGCCTGTTCTAGTTCTTAATTACTAATTTTTCTTTCCAAAAGAACACAATGTTGAAGAATGCAAGTTTGCCAATCTTCTTTTCTGTCATAAAGTGAATGTTAGGATGAATACATTTTGAAAAGAAAATCAACTTGGGCACACTGTACATCAAAAACTAACATCTATCACTACCTGCATAAAAGTTACAACCATAACTCACAGCAAAAGAGAAGCATCATCAAAACTCTTAAGTGACTGAGCCAGCATTGTCAGCTTTATTTGTGGCTTCTACTTCTAAATGATTGCTTTTTAAACAAATTCATACCATCCAGATTTAAGTGTTAAATTTGTTTCAAATCTAGACTTCAAGCAAATTATATTTTCTGATATTATATTTACGCCTTTTTATTTATTTTATTCGCTTTAAATTTCAATTATTTTAATATTTATTTCTTGAAATATTTCTTGAAATAAAAATGCATTGTCCTCAAACTCAATGAAGCTTAGTTCTTCATTAATATGCCTAGAATTGCATTTTGGATTTTTTGTATCAAACTGGATATGGAAAAAAGAGTTAGTATGTCTGTATATTCACAACAGCAGCATATTCTTTTAATCATAGCAACAGGTAAATAAGGAAACAAGTTTTATTATGGGTTTAAGATTTTAAAAATCTACCAGTAAATTAAAATCCATGTCCTTCTAAATAGGGCCCATCACTACAATCTGAGCAAGCAGCATGAAATACATGCACTCTTGACTGGAAAAGAGTCAAGAATAACAAAAGCCCTACTTCCCCTTCTTCTTCCATCTCCCTCTAATAAATATTTTCATAATATACAAATATAATCCAACAATTTTTGGATGAGGTGAGTTGTTCTCTACAGTGAGGGGAAAAAAGTATTTGATTCCCTGCTGATTTTGTACGTTTTGCCCACTGACAAAGAAATGATTAGTCTATAATTTTAATGGTAGGTTTATTTTAAAGTGAGAGACAGAATAACAACAAAAAAATCCAGAAAAATGCATTTCAAAAAAGTTATAAATTAATTTGCATTTTAATGAGTGAAATAAGTATTTGGCCCCTTCGCAAAACATGACTTAGTACTTGGTGGCAAAACCCTTGTTGGCAATCACAGAGGTCAGATGTTTCTTTAGTTGGCCACCAGGTTTGCACACATCTCAGGAGGGATTTTGTCTCACTCCTTTTTTTTAAATAAAGATTTTATTGATATCCTTTTACATACATGTGTTAATTTTTCAACCCATGAGCAGTCTGCTAATACATATTCAATCCCTAATCCTTCATTCTCTCCTCTAGTCAACAATAAAATAAATCCCAAGTTTGGTAGTAATCTGTGTTTTCTTTATTTTTCAATCTCATTGTTAATCTGTCCATTTCTGAGCATTCCAATATTTTTCTAATTATTTCTTCCTCTGATGATAGTCCTTCGTTCTTCCAATATTGCGCAAAGATTATTCTCGCTGCTGTGGTGACGTGTAAACCAAATATAGACTTTGCTTATTAATCTTTTCAGGCATTATACCTAGTAAGAAAAGTTCAGGTTTAAAATCAACATGTTCACCTAATATTTTTTCTAACCACGCATGTATCTTTTTCCAATAAGCCTTTGCTTTGCCACATGTCCACCAAATATGATAGTACGTGCCTGAACTGTGCTTACATTTCCAATATCTATCTGATATATTTTAAAACATTTTTGCTAATCTTGCTGGTGGCAAGTGCCATCTATAACAGGGCTTTTCAACCAGTGGTACGGGTACCACCTGTGGTACATTGACACCTGGCAGGTGGTACGCGACCATCCTAGAAAAGTGGTAGCGGGGGAGGGGAATGAGCTGAACTGGTGGCAGCACCACACAAGCCTGAGTGAGAGATGGCTGGAGCTGCAAGGCTGTTAGGGCTCAGCAGAAGCGCCAGGATCAGTACCGCTTTCCAGCTGATCGGCGCTTCTTCGGGGCTGTCAGGGCTCAGTGGAAGCGCCAGGATCAGCACCAGGCTCCAGCTGGAGCTTGGCGCTGATCCTGGTGCTTCTGCTGAGCCCTGAAGAAGCACCAATCAGCTAGAAAATGGCACTGATCCTGGCGCTTCTGCTGAGCCCAGAAGAAGTGCCAATCAGCTGGAATGTTGCAGCATCTCCAGGGTCTTGTGATTTATATTCAGATGCTTGGCAACTGATTCATATTTATGACGATCACAGTGTCCCAGGGTCATGTGAAATGACCAAAACCTGCTGCAACCACCCGGCAGACGGGGGAAATAAAAACCAAACACCCCATCACCCCACCCCCGCTGCCAATCCTCAACAGAAATGCTCACAACAATGAAAACCTCGGACAGGAGGAAGAGCATCGCCAAGTGGGCAGGCAGGTGTCTTGCTTAGCTGTGGCTTGGGAGGCACTTTTTTCAGTGCCATTGCAACTTCTAAGAGTCACTAAGCAAACAGTTGTAAGTCAAGGACTACCTGTACTTTATCACTTTTTTCCTTTTTTTGGGTCATCAAGTTTTTGACACCTTGCTAGGCGACTGGTGGTACTCAGATGTTGCCATATCCTAAAAGCGGTACAATGGGTGAAAAGGTTGAAACCGCCCTGATCTATAAAACATTTTACATACGTTTTCTTTATATGAAGTTGACATTGTTAATTTGTAATTTCTCTCCCATAGCTTTTGCCACTTTTCTAGTTCTATATTGTAGCCAAAATTTTTCACCCATCTTATCATTGTTTCTTTAACTTGTTCACTTTCCATTTCCAAAATTAACAAATAATTATACATTTTCTTAATTAATTTCTCATCTGAGGTTAACAAAATCTTATCAAATACAGTCTGATCTTACATTTTCACTTCTTTTTCAGATCTATTTTGCATCTGTAAATATGCCCACCATGACAGGTTGATCCCCTGATTTTCCAGTTCTTGCTTAGATTTTAAATTCCCATCAATATTTAGAATATCTCTATATGCCCATATTTTTTTCAAAATCTACCACGTTCGGATGTATAAATGCCTCCATCGTTGATAGCCACCCTGGAATTTTTAAGTATATTTTAGCTTTGATTTTTTTCCATACTATTAACAAGGCATTTCTGGCTTAAGATACACACTTGGCTGGAAAAGATGACTAAAAGACAGATAGATTTTAAACCAGAACTGTTTTTGTTAGGAATATTAAGAACCAAGTATGAGAAGGAGAATGAATATTTAATATTGCACGTACTGACAGCAGCGAGAATAGTTTTTGTCTAGTACTGGAAAAATGAAAATTTACCAACTGAAGAGATTTTAATTAAGAAAATTTTAGAATGTGCAGAAATGGATAGATTTAACCTTAGAGATCAAAGAGAAAGAAGGCTCAGTTTATTTTAGAACATGGGATAATTTTTACCAATGGTTAGGAAAACGAACTAGTGAGAAATGAATGTGATATGTTATCTTGAATATATATTAGTAAGAAGAATGATATGTATTGACCAACTGATACTGTTTATGATTATCGTTTATTATAATTACTACAGCTATTTACCATTATTTTAATCAATGTTAGCTGAAAATATGTACCCAGACAACGATCTGCTTGCTAAAGCTTGAAAATGTTATTGGGGGTAACCCCGATGTTGTTTCCAATCCTGTCCTAATCCTAATCCTGATCCTAACCCCACCCTGAACCTTAATCCCTATCCTGGTCTTAACCTCTCCCCTATAAAACTCAGTAAAAATTTCTAAAACAAAACAAAACCCAAGGCATTTCTTATATAATGGTTTTGGAAATACTTATGAGCTCTGTTTTTTCCATACCATAAGAAAGCGTATCAACCTAATTGTAAATCATGCCCCTTTAAATAACCTTTTATTTCTAAGCATTATCCATTCTTTCACCCATGTTAAGACAGATGCTTGATCGGTGGTTCGTGCCGGTGATGGCGGCTACTTTGTAGCCGTCCTCCTGGGAGAAGCGTGAAAACCACGGAGAACAGCAGTCATCAGCTGTTCAGCGGTTTAAAATCTCCCTCCTGGGCGAAGGGGGGGAGAGGAGTATCACCTGAATAGAGGTAGAACCTCTTAACCCCCCCAGAATTTTTTTAGGGGGGTGAAAAGAGAGTTCCCTCGGAGTTCGGGTGTCTCCGCCTCCCAGCTGTCTTTGATCCTTCGGGATCAAAGCAAAACGCTGCGGCCACCTCCGCGCTTAAAGGAGCCTGGTGAGTTACTTTAAAAGCGGACAGAGCTGGATAAAGGATTGGATTTATTAGACTTTAATTGGACTTTAGTTTGAAATGTGATCTTTTTACTTTTTTTGTCTTTTTTCTTTGTCTGGAGAGTGAAAGTAAAATGGCGATTTGAAGTTGTTGTTTTTTTTTTTCTTTCCGGAAGAAAGTGACTGAAACGTTATGGATTAAACAGTTTTCTTTTTAAAAAAACTTTTTTTTTTGAAGCTGGATTTGTGTTTGGTGTTTTTTTTTTCCTTTTAAACTCTCCTTTGTTGTTTTTTTTTGAGGATTACTTTTATTTTTAAGAAGGAAGAAAGAAGAAATAAGACCTTTTTGAAAATGGCTTCAAAGAGGCAAGCAGCTGCTACAGTTTCTAAGGTGACCTCTTCTCCAGCGATCCTACCGGTACAACAACCTAAAGCTACACCACCACCTTCTCCTCCTCTGCCAGCAGTAACGGTACAAGATATGAAAGATATAATGGGAAGTGTTGTATCTCAAATCAGAGAGGAAGTGAAGGGGCTTTTAGATCAGAATAAAATTGAAATCAGAGGGGAAATGAAGGAGCTCTTAGATCAGAATAAAACTCAAATCAGAGGAGAAATGAAGAATCTTTTAGAACAGAATAATACTATTTTGAGGCAGGATATAGTTACGGCCTTAACAGGACTTGCTTCTGTGGTTGA